TTGAAGTTAGTTGAATATAGGTTTGATTTATTCAGAATGAGCCATTCCTGTTGCTTTTTAAAAGATAAAATAAGGATTAAAATATTATGAAGAAAATCTTCAAAATGGTTGCCCTGCTGTTTCAATTAAAACTACAATTATGTATTAACAACAACATGTTTTTGTTCCTGGAGCAACTTTTTAAAATTTAGTTAACCTCCCTGATTTTGAAGCAAATGAACCTTTTTCACTGCGGACACCATATCTGCTGTTGCCACCTTAGACACAGTCAGTTACAGTTCATCCCTCACTCCTAACAGCACGTATTACTTTCTAAGCTTTTCCATTAAAGCTGACCTGATTCACATTCATTTCCATCAAATTACTTTGTGAAATGGGCAAATGACAAGGAAAGAGATTCATCACGTTCTCCTCCCATCATGCCATCTGTTTGGAGTTAAGTCATCAAAATCTGGAAGTGACTTGACGCATGATTTTGAAAATGGTGACAGAGGAGTGGTTCTAGGTTATCTACTGAAACTGATCTGTACTTGTTGTAGAGGACGATATCAGGTCTCCAGATGATCTCTGACGGGATGCGTATTGACGTGACGTTTTCGTATTCCTCCGGGTTCCAACGGAGTTTGTAGTCGTTCCATTCCTGCAGAAAAACAACCATTATGTTCATGCATTGCAGTGTTAGATCAGCGTTTATCTGGTTCTCTCATAATCTCTTACTTGCTTAACCCACACGTTTGTCGTCATCATCTGGTTCTTCTCATCCTTTTAATAGAAAGAAAAGTAATTATTGCAGCTTAAAGTTCTTCATAGGTAAATACATCAGTAGTTCCAGAGGTTCATTGTGTAACACACCAAGGAAATAAAAATATCAGCTTCCTGCAGAAGGGCCCTGCTACTTTTCTGGAAAGCTGCTTTCTCCAGCTCTTCCCCAGCAGCCTGTAAGATGAGGCAGTCAGCGAATACACTCCATTGGAAAAGACAATTTCAGCTGGAGTTGACACTCACAACCAGGCATTTGGAGCAAGCGCTGTCAGCTAACCGAATGTCAAAAGAAAAAGAGGACATTTTTCCCTAAAGTAAGGCAGGGTGCATAATGTATAAGGTCCTTTAAGCAAACTGTGTGGATATATACAACTGTGTTCCATGCATATATGAAATAAAACGTGGATGTGTTGGAAACTGTGAATGAAGATATTCTGGGAAGACGTAATGTGACTGGATATCTGTTTGGATGACAGCTGTGAATATTTACTGCGTGCGTTAGCATTATCTGGCAACTGGATTTAATTTGGTGGAAACTAATAGAATCTCCTTTGTTGTGGTTTCATTTCCGCTGATAAGTGATCTGTCTCAAAATGCGTTTTACTTTCTCGATGACGGTTCATGCTGGCTGAAATGAGTCTGGATAAACAGAAGGATTGCAACTGAAAAGACACATTCATTTCTGCGAAGGAACATAATGGCAAAACATAAACCCCCCAGTCCCCCCATGCAGTGTGATTTACTGTGGAAGCTAATCTCCTAATTAGCGATGGAGCTTTCAAATGTGTGTTACCAGTACAATTTAGCCAATATAGAAATATATGCCAAAGATAAAAAGTTACTGCAGATGCTACAGTATAAAATAGTTTATCAATGTTTATACATGCCAGCAGAGGTGGAAAGGGTAAATAATGTAGGCTACTCAAGTAAAACTAAAGTTATCTTTGATTTTAAAAAGTTTCTGTACTTAGTACCTTATTAAATTTTTATTTTAGTTGCTTTATGATGAGCAAAACAAAGTTCAACTCATCGCAAAGGAAATGAGTACACATTGGTCAAACTGTTTTTATTTAAATGAGCACATTTATAAATCATAAACAACACAAAATATTATGTGTACTTTAAATGGACATTAATTCTCAATGTCTTATATCAGCTGCTGTTTGTTACTCCCATTAAATAGTTTTAAATAACCGACTCCAAACTAAGCCTGATTTTCTGTTTTCAGTTTTAATCAATACAAATTATTATCACAAGTACCTAATAAAATTGACATTTACATTTGTTGTTAAAATATAAAAGTTTACAATGTATGATAAACCTGTTGCCTTTCTCATACTTAGAGTTAAATTGATGCCTTAAGTACAGCAAAATCTTTTCTTTTTGTCAGAAGTTAACTTGAACTAAACTTGACAGGTTTTCATTATTCCTGTCTTCCCATCGATGCAACACCATGAGAACTTATTACAATTTTTTTTTAAATGTAACAGAGTAACTTTACTCAAAACAAAAACAAATTCAAGTTAAAGTAAAAGTTCTGGTTTTGTAAACAACTCAAAGGACAAATTAGACAAATTGCAATTACATCAATAAATGTAAATGTAACTTATTACTTTCCACCCTGTATGACAGAAAATATATTTTTTCCACATTGGGAAGTGCTTCTACTTTCTACATTATCCATACAGGTAGCCTATAGGACAGTAAAATATTAATGTTTTTATTTGTTTTGGTTCGCACAATGAGTCTCTGACTATTTTAGTCATAGTACTGGCAAGAATTTAAAACTACTCTCTCCCCTGGTTTTTAGTAAAAGACCACAAGTCGTTTCTACAGCTAGTGCTAAACATGTGTTTGCTTTGTTTGAATTTACCCAGAATGCCCTGTTCTGTGGGTGAAAGCCCAGTTGCTTGGAAATTTTAGCTTTGAGGAGGAGCATCATCCCTGGAGATTGAAGGATTTCTCAAACATGCATGAAAGAATCAAAGAATCACTCTAGGTTTGTTTTTGAATAACGTTCTAAAATAATGGAATAATGGAGAGGAGACAAAGCTCAGAAAAGTTTATTTTACATAAAACTGTCTCTTTAACTGTTGACAATGTCAGGAAGCAGTCCAGAAAAACTGTAACAAAGCTGCTTGGTTTCACTCACCACATCAATTAGCTGAGCAATAGACAAGCCGAAGTGGACCAGCACCGTGTCTGAAGTGTTTTGCACAGGCCGAGAGAGCTTATTGTAATGAGCAAACAGATTCTGAAGAAGCCTCTCTTCAGCATGGGCACGAGGTCCAACCTGGGAGTACACTGAAGGAAAAGAAGAAGACATTAAAAATCAATAGAAAAAGCTTTGACTTTCTGCTATACATGTGCAAATTTCTTGCAATGAGTTTCTGTTTTCATATTCATGCTTGAAATAGACTAATCTCGCATTGATTCGAATGCATATTGCTTTTCCTTTACAACACATTCATCCTCTGTGAATTTAGCTGATGTGGCTCCGCTGAAGAACACAGACTGTAATGTGGAAGGAGGGTGACCTCTGTTATACAGGTGGCCTGTGGTTACATGAGACAGTATCTGGGAGAGGAGACAAAGGGAGGCAGGACAGGAAAAGCAAAAGTGGACGGATGAGTGTTTCAGTCAAAATGCCCCTCTGCCTCCCCTATTCCATTTTCATTGGAAGTTATTTGATTTTTTTTTTTTTTTTTTTTTTTTTTGCTGGTCTCTGATATTTCATTATGTTTGTCCAAAATACATTTTTCAATGTCTCGTCTTTCTTTACTTGAACTCATTGTGCAAAAATATCAATTGTTCCGAAGCTCAGGGACATTTTTCTGTCTCTAACAGTTAGCTTAGTGAACTGAAGGAACAGGAAGGAAAACCTTCACACCCTTTAATTTTTCCCACATTTTGTTGTATAAAATATGTATCCCACATAAATCAGAGTATTGTTTTTCTCACGCAATGTCATGACATTGCAAAAATAAACTTTTACAAAGATGTGTGATTTTTTCTAAGTTAAAAACTTGTTAATCCAGTGTTTTTAAACATTCAGGCATGACAGCTTTTTAAAATGTTTTTCTTTTTCTTTTTTTGTTTTTGTTTACAATTTTATAATTAATGTAAATGCAACTAGTGTTTCTCTGTTAACTGCTCTTAGGAGCGTGGGACTGAGAAGCAGTTCATACCAGCGGTTCCACCAGGTGTTTGCTAACTGCACTCAGATTTGTTTTTGATAACAATATAACAAAAAGTTGATTTTACATAATTACACTGCAGCTCCTGTTAAAGAAAAATAGACTTTGATCCATTTTAAGCAAAACAAGCAGTGGGAAAAAACCGAACTTCAAACAGTTAGAGGATGTGAATAGTTTCAGGATGTATTTTAACGGGTGTGTTTGAACAACATGAATGAAGATGTTTGTATTCAGATTGGTGACACAGGTGTTGCCATCACTGTGCCTCGCTCACATCTGCTGCCCATTCAATCAAAACTGATGGACTGTCCTTTGGCTGGCTGAAGACTGGCTTCTGCCATTTTGAAAGGATTTGGATCAATATCTTGTTAAACTGATATGTCTTTTTACCCAAGCTCCTCCACCACAACCCAACCCTCCGATTGCTGTTTGAACCTGAGTCTGTTTGACAAGTCCAGACACCTGATAACCTTGAAATGTTTGTGCATGTTCTGATGGAAAACTGATGTTAATTATTTTTTTCTTATGCATGCCAGGTCAGAGACATGTGGGTTGATGTATTTAATAAAGAAGTGACGTCCCAGATGACTCCAAAGGTGCCTTGCAGCTAATGGGATTGGATGGGAGAGCTCCTGTCCTGACAGTCTGTGTGTGACTGATCAAGATTTGTTTGCTGTGACATTCTGTAAGTCTGCGCTCTCTCTGATCACTGTGGCACCAGCAGCAAAACAGGACATATGACTTCTAGGCTATAATAACGTTTCAGCGATAGTGGTTGACTTTATTTAATTAAAAACCAAAACTGTAGAAAACACATTTTGTGTTCCTAAGGTTGTGCTTTTGTCAGAGATTATGAATCATATTGGGAGTTTAGCCTTCAGCACTAAAATCTGTACTCACTTAATGAATAGCTGGACTTTAAAAAGATGACTTGGGTTAGAAGAAGATTGGAAGAAGGGTTGAATTTTATTTTTCATAAAGGCAAGTCCCTCTGCTGCCTTTTTGATACAAATAAATATTCTTTCTACAGTTAAATAGGGACAAAAATACATAGGCAACCTTAGTATTCACTGGGGTAACCCACAGATACATAAAAACCTTAAATACTTGAAAATCCCTCTGAAAACACTTTTAATTGTCTCTTTCATTAGTTCAAACACCAAATATACCTTAATATACATTAGTACACAGTAGAAACCATTTTGGCAGTTTAACACCTACAATCTTCTTTACTTCCACTCTTAGCTATACATCCAATCAGCATCAAGAAAGCAAATGCAGGTCTTGGATTGGTTGCTTTCCAAACGCCAGCCAACAGCATCAGGTAACGCTACGTTTAGGTGTTTCAGCTTCCCAAGTTGCATTTTCTTTTGAATATTTTGATATGAGCTACAAAAACATTCACAAAAATGTGGGTTTTTGGAGAATTATTGGGAGTCGTCTGTAATAAGAGTATGATCCCAAGCTCTATCAGATAGTGATAAAATAACAAAGTGATGTAATACGATTCAATGCAAACACAGCGATATGATTAAACACAATGCGATGTATGTTATGATCATTGTTTTTATTTTGCTTTTCTACTTTTTGTATTTGTACTCACTTCTGAATTCCTTTAAAAGGTCTTGCCATACAGAGTTAATTTCTCTGTGCTCATTATTGTCAGAAAGGTCTTGCTGTACAGGTGCTACTCATTAAGTCCTGTGTTTTAGTTCATCCTCTGTTAGTGTTAGTGTATTTCCCTCTTGGTTTGTAGTTTCCTCTGTGCCTATCTCAGTATCGTATTGTACTATAGTAATTAGTATCAGTGTCTCCTCTCCCAGCTGTTCCACATTCCTCTGATTAGCTCAGCTGGATCCAGGTAAAAGTCCACTACTTCCTCATTATGTAAGCTAAAAAATATGACAATATAATTCTGATATAATTCTGATACAGTGTGATCTAAAGCTACCTAATGTGGTTATTTGAAGTAATGCAATACAATACAGTATTTAATATGAGACAATATAAAATAAAATGTCTGTTATTACGTGATACTATGACATACAATCTGGTTCAGTGTGATATACAATGTAACAATGTGATTCAAAGTGATATGTGATACAATACCGTATGATGAAACTCCGATACAATATGATATATGATTTGATACAATATATGTGATATGATGGTATATAATTTGACACAATAAAGGAATCTGAAGCAATATAATACAAAAATAATGTAATGATGTACAATATGATCCAATACAGAGATTTACTATGATACAGAACAATATGATGGTAGGTAATGTGATGTAATCTGATGTGTTATGATATAATATAATGTGATATAATGCATAACTATGCATTGATATGATACAATTTGATACTTTGTAATGTGGCAGTGAAATATGATACAATGGGATATGATGCAATGTAATATGATATGGTGTGGTGTGATTATTATATGCAAGGAAACAAGATGTGATAACTGAGATGCAATAAAATACATTATGGCATATTTTGTACTATGTGATATAATTACAAAATAAAACAACAAAACCGAAAGCCATACTATTATATGTTATGTGATGCAAAACAAAGATTCATTGTTAAGCTCATTTCTCTCTGCTTCTCTTTTTGTTTGTTTGTTTTTCTGTTCATTTAATATTTTTGGATAGTAATCTACATTACCAGAGGAAATCAGGGATGACACAGCTGAGGAAATGAAAAACCTTACCTCTTGGAGTTGCAGCAATGAAAACCAAGCACAGGCAGGTGTGTATTTCCATTGTGGCTCCAGCAGTTTCCAGCCGTGTCCCTGAACTTTCCTCTTAACTTCTTTTGGATTTCAGACCCGGCGGTTGCTCATCCTGGAGGCTTAAACAGCTTAAAACTCTGTCAGCTCTCCACAGCTTCAACAGCCGGAGAGATAGAGAGAAATCATGTCAGTGTGTGAGTGTCCAGTTGTCCTCAGGGCTCCATCTGTCCATCGCTGCAGCTGGTTGTTGTTTTTTATAGATGTATATATTTACAGCTGATTAAATGACCAGAGTCATGGAAAGTAGCATCTCTGAAGCTAATTCTGAAAAGTCTCTCCTCATTCGTCTAGAGTCCTTCATCCAAGTGTAGCTCATCCTTCTCCTCCCTTTCTACATCATTCCCTCCCTCACTTCTCATCTCTCCGCCTCCTCACCTCGTCCCCCTCCCCCTGTCTCTCTCTCTCTCTCTCTCTCTCTCTCTCTCTAAGAGAAAAACACACCTTCTCCATCCATCCCTTGCCTTCTCTTTACCTTCTCTTTTTTTGCCTCTTCTTTGCTTTTTTTTCTATCAAGAATAAACTTTTGTGACAACCACTGGATGGTGTGAAGGTGAGGAAACCCAAACTGAGATCCCTAATGAGAATATACAGCATACATGAGCAGTGCAGTGTTTTCTGTATGTGAGAACTGTTACAGTATGAGTGCAGTTTACTACCTGTCAAGGTCCAGTGTGGTAAAAAAGAAAAAAAAAGTGAAAGTGAGTCATAGCACATCTGTGCTCTTCAGGTTCTTCTCTATTCTGATTCCCAGAAGTAAATCTCCTCCCAGTCCTCCTCCACCTTAACCTCAACCTGACCCTCACCTGCTGCCACTTTTACTACCATGCTGGTCTTAATGGGACAGTATTATGTAAAATCAACTTTTTGAGTTTTACATCATATTATAATCTTATTCCCTCATCATAACAAAACAAAAACAATTATTTAATCTCCCATGGCAACCATTCAGCTGGTTGTTAAAGGGGCAGTATTATATGTTTTCCATGCACATAGTGCCTTTTATAGCATAATCATGTAAATATATTACTTTCAGTTGTTCTAAAAATGAGGATCCAAGGAGCTGATGGTGGGAGTCACTGGTGAGGAGAGCTATGTGAGGCAAAAGCTCTGAAGCTTGGAAATTGCAGCTCAGAGGACGGGCTTTGTTCCTGAAGGCGGAGCTAGGTCCAACCAAGTGTTTTACACGACTGAATGGTTGTCATGGAGATTAAAGATTTCTCAAACATCCATGAAAGAATCAAAGCAACACTCTGATGAGGGAATAACATTATAACACGATCTAAAGCTTAAAATAGTTAATTTTACATAATATTGTCCCTTTAAAGCAGAGGTTCCCAATCTGTGGGGCGCGCCCCCTAGGGGGGCGCTGTGCCCTTGCAGGGGGGCACGCGGGAAGCCGTCTGGATGAAAAAACAAAAACAAAAAAACATGAACACTGTATGCGCTGGGTTTTTACCTTAGAATGGCCAACTCTCTGTTATTCCTCTGTCAATTTGATACAGTACAGGCTTCCACACTTCCCATATTTGTGTCCTCTGTCACTTTTATCAGCAGTTAAAACTGTTTAATCCGTTGCTAACATGTGGTAACCTGTTTTTCCGAGCCGCCTTTAAACGCAACATGAGCGCTACGACGCTCGCGCTGGGTTTACACCTGTGAAGGAGACCTGCTGCTGCTGGGCGGAGCTACAGGTGTGTTAGAATCACGGCAGCAAACCAGCAAAACGCAAATAACTTTTCAGTTTTTCCCTCCAAACTAACCGACTGAGTTGAGTAAAGCTGTTGGATGCAGGTAATGTTAGCTAAAAGATGACTAGCTAATATTAATACAGAACCTTAAGCTTAACGAGTACCTTGTAGGCTACCGATGTTGGTGTCTATTTTCAGCTACGTACATTCATTTTGCCCCCAAAAATGTCGTTGCCCCCCCCACCCCCCTCACACGCGTC